CATCTCAGTCACCTCTGAATCGATGCATCCATTTTCATTAAGGTGTGCGCCCAAGTGTTTGAAGTTTTCTACCTGCTCGAGGATTCTGTCTTCGACTCTGATGACGCGCATATTTCTCCTAGGCTTCTTCCCAACCCTCATTACTTTCGTTTTTACAGGGTTGATAATCATATTAATCTTCTGCAATTCTTCTTTTAATCTATTAATATTGTACTGAAGATTCCTGCCACTGTCCGAAAAAATTTCCTTCCAATTTCCGCTCAAAAGTTCCTTATTTGAAGAATATTTTGTCTAGTTTACTTTTAAGTAATTTTACCTGAATCAAATATCTTTGTGTTTTCGCTTCCTACGAAAGAAAAAACGTGACCACTTGTAGACAAGACAAAATTTGACCTGTTGCATGACCAAGACCAGGACTGGTAAAAAAAATCGAAAAATAAATTTTTAATACGCATTAAGGCAAAATAGTTACTAATACTTGACAATATTTTAAAAACACTTTATTCAGAAATATTACAATTTGTCACAGTTTAAGGACACTTATAATAGAGTTCAAAGATTGCATTCATACCGTATATACAAAAATATAAATAAATAAAGTAATAACAAAAGAATAAGAAAAAGAACAAAAGAGTAAAGAAAAAAAAATATATATATATATACATAAGTAAATAAAAATAGAAATAAAAGTGAAACAAACACCTTATATAAAACATACCTATATACATTATTTACAATTTGCCAGGTGATCTCCGAACCAATCCTGTCCCCTCCACATGTGGAGGGAAAAGGGAGGCTTAGGAGATCCCTACGCTTCTCCCTCAGCCACTTCACTGGTATTTTAAACCAGCGGAGGATGAGTAAGAGCGCTACAGCCACAGACACTCATGACTTGAGTGGAGAATCTGGCCATTGCTAGAACTCCAAAATATCCATATTTACAAAAGGTCTCGTGGCCACTGCCGCTTTAACCTACGAAGGGGATTGTAGGGATGGGTGGTGCTTGATAGGGATTGTACAACGGGATTTGGGTGATGAGAAAGGTTCTGGTGAAATTTGGAAAATTTGGCTGGGATAAGATCAAGAATAAATGGGATATTAAGGTCATGGTGTAGGGTTTTATTGGTTACATAGAAGGGAGCATCGACTATTGTACGGAGGACTTTAGACTGAAAGGATTGAATGCGTTTGATGTTAGAAAATTTGGCTGTTCCCCATAGTTCTAGTCCGTAAGTCCAGATGGGTTTCAGTATTGTCTTGTAGATCAGTAATTTGTTTTCACCAGAAAGTTTAGATTTTCTATTCAGTAGTCTATATAGCTGGCCATATCGTCTGTTAAGCTCCTGTCTTTTAAGTCTAGTATGTGGATTCCATGTTAGTCGTCTGTCTAAGAGAAAGCCAAGATACCGGACTGTATCTGAGAAAGGAAGCTGGATGGAGTTAAAATAAACTGGTGGGCAGGTATTACGCCGAAGGGTGAAGGTAATGTGTTTACATTTAGATTCCTTTACCTTGATGCGCCATTTCTTACACCAGTGTTCAATCAGGAAGAGGTGCCTTTGTAAGTTTGCGGACGCTGTTTCAGGATCTGAGTTGGAAGAAAGGATAGCAGTGTCATCAGCGAAAGTTGCCAGGAGGGTATCGGGATGGACAGGAATATCAGCGGTAAAGAGAATGTAAAGGATGGGGCCCAAGACGCTGCCTTGAGGAACGCCAGCCTCAATTGAGTAACAGTCGGAGAATTCGGTGCCACAGCGAACTCGGAAGGAGCGGTCGGAAAGATAGGATCGGAGTACTAGGTATAAGGACTGTGGTAGGTGGATTTTAAGCTTGAAGAGTAATCCGGCGTGCCATACCCGGTCAAAAGCTTGCGCTATGTCCAGAAATGCACCCGAGCAATACTGCTTGCTTTCTAGGGTTGAGGATATATGGTCAACAACTCGGAGTCCTTGTTGGACAGTGGAATGTTGGGAACGAAATCCGAATTGATGAGTAGGAAGGTTATAGGATTCAATTATAGGTAGGATTCGTTTCAGTAGGATCTTTTCAAAAATTTTTGAGAGGATTGGGAGTAGGCTAATTGGTCTATAGGATGCTGTATTGTTGGAAGGTTTGCCTGGTTTCAAGAAGAGGACGATGATGGAATGTTTCCATAAAAGAGGGAAGTGGGTAGTTCGTAGGATGCAATTGTATATATATGTAAAAAATATGATGGCTTTAGATGGAAGTTGTCGAAGGATCTGTGGGGTTAGAAGGTCATATCCAGGAGATTTGCGAGGAGTGATTTTCCGTAAAAGGTATTTGACCTCAGAGGGATTAACAGCTTTAGGTGGTAAGGAGAGTGGAATAGGTATTGAGAGGGATTCTTCTACTTTTACTGTGTGGCTGGGATGGGATTCCGGATGAGGAGCGAAAGTATAGGAAAGGTGTTTGGCAAATTCTTCGGCTTTATCTTCATCAGATGCTGCCCAGGAGCCATCATCTCGTCGAAGAGGGTGGGAAATATGATGGGATTTGAGGATTTTTCTGGTGATATTCCAAAGGGAATTATCATGAGCAGAGAGTGTGGTGAGGTAGGAATTGAATGATTGGGATCTGAAGGTGGCTAATTCTTGTTTTAATTTTTTACAGTGATAATTGTAGGAGTGGCGGTCGGCTGGATGTCTGGTACGTTGCCATAATAATCTGGCACGGCGTTTTATGTGGATTAGGTCAAGGAGGTGTTGAGGTAAATTATGTTTCTTAAGGATTTTTGAGGAGTGATCAGGGGAGGAAGCAGTCCAGACTGCTTCTTGAATTTTGGTAGTGAAGGAATGTACTGCATTGTCCAGGTCTTCAGGGGTTTTCAGGGTTACTCTGAGGTCAATTTTATCGGAGAGGATTTGATGAAAGAGTTTCCAGTTAACTGGGCCTCTGATGAAGGACGGAGGAGAGGGTTTAGGAATAGGAGCTAGTGATACTTGGAGTATTAATGGGCTGTGGTCTGAGGAAAGCTCGTCAAGACGGGCAACGGAATGGTTGAGAGCACATAAACCACTATGGATAAAGAAATCGAGGATATGGGGATTACGGTTAGGATCTGTGGGCCAGTAGGTAGGTGAGTTGGGTGAAAGAAGGGTAAAATTTTGGGAATTGAGTACAGACAGCAATGTTCGACCACGAGAATTCGTGGTTCTTGAACCCCATTGTTGATGCTTGGCGTTTAAGTCTGCACCCAAGATGAAATGATGTCCTAAGGAAATGAGGAAGGAACTAAATTGGATATTGGAGATGGATTGGTTTGGAGGGCAATACGCTGATGCAACGGTAATAGGAAAGGAGAAGGTTTTGATTACGACTGCGGTGGATTGTAGGAAATCGTGTGTAGGCAGTGGGAGTAGGTGATGGGAGAGGGATTGGTGCACAATGACTGCAGTACCGGCATGTGCTCTACCGTCAGGATGGTCGGTACGGTAAGTTATGTATTGTGGTATTTTTAGGAGCTGTTTTTTAGTCAGTCGAGTTTCCGTTATTAGGGCTACATCTACGTTCTTGTCTTGTAGTAAGGCTGTTAGTTTGTGTATTTGATTTCTAACACCATTCGCATTCCAAAGGAGAATGGATATGGGTTTGATGGAAGTCAATTAAGGATTTTTTAAAGAAGGGATAAGGTGAGATACTAGGTTAGTGAGAAGTGATATCAGTGGGGTAACAAGGGATTTAAATTCTGAAAGAAAGGATGTCAATAAGCTGGTTAGATCTGTAGCATTAGGCGGTGGAGGGACATATTGGATTTGATGTTGGTGAGGTTGTTGTTGATTAGGTACATTAGGTGGGATAGGATATTGAGATTGGGGTTGAGTTTGTTCTTGCGGCAGAGCCTCACATTCATTAGTCGGGTCTCTACCCCCAAGTAGCTTGGCAAAAGAAACCTTAGAGTTCACAATTTTAGCGGGTCCTCTTCTTGGTTTAGGTGTATCCCTGGGTTTCATATATCTCGCTTTAAGATTTTTATAAATTTGGCAGCCTTTGTAGTTGGCTGGATGGCCTTCTAGACATAGGGCACAGTAATACTTGACAATATTTGTTACTATATGTTAATAATTGGTATAACCAATATACTTTTGCATTTAACTCCTTTAATTTTTCATTCGGGTTTAGTTAGGTTTCTCCTGTCTAAAAAAATACATTAATATCTCTTTAGTAATAAGCTAATATGTATCTGCAAGACTGTTGCGAAACTCTTGCGCAAGACCAAGACTCGTCTCAGTCTCTCATTTGGGCAACACTACTCCTTTTATGTTCGAAATCGGCCCATTCATCAAATGAATTTTTTTGTTGAAAATTTTTTCTAGAACCACCTCCCAGAGTTTGGCCATTAAATACTGAGGCACTCTTATAAAGGCCAAACGACCCAATATTTTTGAAGGTTCTTTGTTTCTTTCAATTTTGTGATCAAATTATTTGACGATTCATGTGAATAAGCAAGTAGATTTCCATGAGTTTTTAATTTCACCATTAAATTAATTAATTAAATGAGAAAACGTCCCAGTTCTGAGAATTTTTTTTCGATAAGAAATTCGTAGGTTTCGATAAGATAAAGCCATTCACAAAGTTTTAAACGGATTTTAATAATTTGATATATATATATATATATATATATATATATATATATATATATATATATATTATTTCCTGTATAATTTATTTTATTTATTATACATAGAGTGTGAATGTGATCTCTGAATACTATTATAAATGTCTTTTGGGACAGATTGTAATATTTTTCAGTAAACAAGTTTAAAAAAAAATTAATAAGATATAAAGATTTCTGTACCGTGGACTATCAATTATAGTTACAACAATCGCGAAATTTTCTGATTTCACAAAGGGAAAATTTATCAAAGTCTTTAATGATCGAAGGTTATTTAATGTCGCTTAATCACTGTCGCAATAAACCGACAATATATCATACAATACACAATAAAGAAGAGGGTTAGGTTATAAATTGAAAAAAAAAATTGAAAAACAAGTCAATTTATTTGAAATAAATAATACAAATCTATATTTCATAGCAAAGATACATATGAATTTAGTATCATACCGATTACAATATGATTGTAGTAACGTCACCCTTCGGACTGAAGGCTTTTCTCATGCGGTAACTTATCATTAAGTATATATTAATGTATAACAATAATCATAATTATGTACAAGAGCTTTTATAATATAAGAGAAACATATACTTTGGCTATATTAGTAAATAAATATCCAACATAAATTTTGACCCACACATATATATTTTTTTAATCCTTAACCACTATAAATCTTAGATAACATATTTATTATTATTTTTGTCTACAAAGCTGGTTTCGTGTACCGTAAATGTTTGATAATCCAACAAACATAATGATTAATACTATGATTGCACATTGAAAATAATTCGATTCAATCATCAGCTATGGACAATATAATTATTTCTAATTTTTTAAACAATAATGCTAACAAAGTTAAATTATTTCAAATGAATATACTTGATATTGGGCCGAAATTCACATCCTAATTTTTATAGGTGACTTCAGCGGATGCAACTTACGTACTACCAGTGTTTTGAGAAACCACTAAGGGTCAAGTGTAGATCACATAATGTACAGAGATAGATGTACACTTAAAATATTATATAAAATGCAAAGTCCATATTTTACACACTATAAGTAAAAATAATATTCAAGGGTCAAATAAAGAGAAGAGACAAGCTCATGCAAGGTCAAATCACATTGTTTATATGTCCTTAGGCAGAATCTCCCCAACGGGAAAAATCCAATGAAAACTAAAAATCTAACATTGAAATTTGAATTATATTAAGTAATTGAATAAAATGGACGAATCATAATGGACAACGATGGTAGTAGAGTAATATAAAACTACCAATCTTTGAAAAGGATATATATAAACTGAAAGAACATTGGCATAAGAGAGTATTTTTTTTTGTATTCTAGAAGGCTGAAAACTAATTTAAATCTGATGCAATTACATTTTTTAATATTTTAGTGATGTCTATGTTTGTGTTATCTAAGAAAATAAGTTTTCATTCGTATGTGAAACTAATGCGTTGATTACTCCTTATAACAATATTTCAAAATGTAGTTGAATAGAATTTAAAACCAATATTTTTCAATTTAATACTTTACTTGTCTTATTTGAATAATTAACAATTTTCGTTTTTGGATTTGGACCGAAAGCTGTTTATTGTCTTTTTTTTCATAATTACCGCGTTTTATTCTATTAATTCACGTTTGCTTAAATTTTCTTGAAGTGTGTTATGTATATATCATTTTCTGAAATAAATTAAATGTTAGAAGTTATCGTGATTGTGGCCAAGACCCATTAAGTGTTAACAACTAAGATGTTTAAACAATGAAGGTTGGACGTGATCATGCTGCCCAGACCTAGCCAAAACGCAAACAAGCCGCTCTGCTGCGGTTTCGGAACCTTCCCACAGCCATAGATACATCTCCCTTCCCTCAAATCCTTTATCCAAAACTATCTTACATTCTTTTAATCTCACTGAATAAGGATTACTAGAGAGGAGGAAGCCTGGATGGGTAGAGATATGGAGGATAGTAAGGAGGAAGGTAGGGGAAGAGTCGTGTGTAAGGATGGAAGCGAGGGTACCGTGGTTCTCCGGTGTGGCTTCTCAGGTGCTGAAGAAGTTCCTCAGGTGTGGTGAACCTCTTGCCACAGAAGGTAGATTCTCCTGATACCCAGGAGCAGACGTAGGGTTGAGCAAGCGCAGCCAACTGAGCCAGTCCTGCAGGGCAGCCCTGACAATAAGGGTCTCTGCAAGCCCTTGGAGGGTAGAGTGCCTGCGACAAATATCAAAGATTATGCAACAATATATGCAAATGTTTTACTTTTTTAGAATAAAAACCAAAATTGTTACCTTCAGATAGTCAGGATACTTGGGAGAAGCTCTGCTGGGACTCTCCCTAGGTGACTTCCTCTTTTCCTCGAGTTCGTAGGGTTTGAATGTTGGCTTGGGGGAAGTCTTCTTCGCCGGAACGGCGGCCTGAGGTGCGGGTCTGCTAGGCACTAATGGGGAGTCAGCTCCTATCTGCGAGCATGTTTGTGCCAACAATGCTAGGGGGCTTTGCTTTGAATCCGTCTGCAAACATCAAAAGTTATGGTAAATAAGTAAGAAGCCACATTGTATTTCATTTAATAGAAAACTCCTAACCTAAATGCTTATAATATATAAAATCTTAACTAATAGTTTATTTAGAAATTTAATGGAACAAAAGACTAAAGTGGTTTTACCGTAAGAACATCACATTTTTACAAAGGAATAAATCTCCTAAAACATATGATGAGCTGCCTTGAATTGAGAAAACATCTTTAAATATATCCACGTCAAGAATGACCACAGTATTGAAAAATCCGTAATTTAAGAAATAACAGTTCTTCTACAACTAGAAGATGTGACACACATGACATTAGAACAAACTAAATTTCAATAGTGTCTTGAGATATATTTTTATTGTTTTTATACGGTTTGTACAATTTGTTAAGATTTGACTGTCATATCTACTCCTCGGAATTAGAGCTAGTGCCTCATCATTCTACAAAAATGATTCAAGTAGAACGGACTTATTAGGATTTATGGGTCCTTCGGAAAACCAAATACCTCAGGAAATAGGGCTTGATGCTAATATTTTTCAAATCATTTATTTCGGCATAAACATATAAATTAATTATGACCCTAATATATTTACTGGGATCAATTAATAAACTACAATTATTAACATACAATTGTTCAGGAAACTATCACAATCATGAAACTCAATAAACAGTTCAGGAGTACATAAAATGTAACACAAAGTGCTCTAATTACAATGCTTTTCTTTTCGGTAATCCCTACTTTGCCATTTATATCATAGAGAAAAGGAGAGGGTTGTTCTGGAGGTTCAACCAAACATATTCTTAAAAAATAAAATAAAATGGCTTTTAAATAATTAAAAAGAAATAAAATCAACAAAAAGAAAAAAAAAACACGAACCTAAACTACAAACTTATCAGTCAAAAACTTTCAGAACTATGACTAAAGTTCCATGGTAAATACAACACTTGCTATAAAAACCATCACAGTGTTGAGGGCCGCCCAAAGATTTAACATCAAGTTACACGAGCTGACACCAACACGATATGGCTACAATTAAAACGTTCAATGACATCCGTAGGAGGCTCAAAAGATTCATTCAAGAACATAGATTCATTTCTAGATACTTCACGAAATAAATTTCAATCAACTCAGACCGGATTCGAACCAGCTTCGCTAGACTCGGGAATGTTAAAGTTTAAGCTCTAACACACTCGGTCATTACTACCTCAATGCTATTTAGATTTAAGTGCTGAGGAAGTCAACTGCATGCTTTTTAATTTAAAACTCATAGTGAACTCCGTATCTAAGTTTCTCATTTGAACATTTAGCGCTTGCTCGGGTATAAAATCATTCAATTCATATTTCAGGAAATAAAGCTAGTATAGTTAATTTCCCAATCCTATTTATATAAAAGAAAATATATAAGTTATAAACTGAATGACAAGGCCCTCTCCGAGACCCTTGGAACTTGGATTACACTCCACCCGTTTTCTTAAATTGAACTCTTGGAAGCTTTTTATATCGTGAAATTTTAAGTGAAGATGCCAACACTCCGGAGGAGCTCACTAAAACGCCTACGCCAGGGCGCTGTCATGCCTAACCGCCCCCGCTAACAGCCAGCCTGTTATGACTTTAAAAATTTAAACCCCGGAGGAATAAGGAGCCGGGTGAAGAATACTTGACAGAGACAGGCTGTCAGTGCCCCCGGGCCATGTCTCCACCACACAGAACAGGAAATGAGAAATACGTCAAGCACAGCCTCCCAGGAGCCTTTAAATAAAACTCATTCAGATCTGTCTACCCCTGGTGTCTCCTGTCATCCTCATTCAAACACCAGCTTCGCAAAAGCCATAGTTGGTGGACACCTGATCCTTAGATGTTATATTAATCAATTGATTCGCTTTGTTCTTATAAGTGAACCTACGGAATCATCATTCAACGAATTTAGATAATTTTGTTCATATCAGTTCTTTTTATCTTTTTAATCATGTTTTATTGAGTAATGTTCCCTGCTGTCACAAGTGAGGACAAAAAAGTACATTCACACGATATTTACATAAAATAAAAATAATTGTTTTATTTATTTTTTATGTATTTATTGAAATTTACAACTATTTTATATGACAAATAAAACAAGTAAATCTGAAAACAGTGACATGACATGTACAACATGTAGAGAAACTACCCATTGGTAGCACTCCAATTATAGTTCTATATTAGAAGGTCCCGAGGCTATCTTCTTTCCGCACGCCTCGAAGGGTTATCAGGAATAGAAGAGGAAGCAAAGTTAGAAACAAGAAGATGGTTTAGAAATTTATTATGGAAAGAAATTTATCTGGAATGAGCTAAATCGGAAACATATGGTACATTAACGTCAATATGGATAATTTTATTTGTGACAAAGTGAAGTGTATTGAGGATTTTATGAAGGATTTTGGATTGTAAGGATTAGATACGATAGGTCTTAATATAATAATATATATGAGTCTTTTGTAAATAATTGGAAGTTTAGAGCATTTGTCTAGTAAGTGCTGTAGTAGTCAGAAACGTCGAGCAGTTTATAGTGGTAGTCTGGTATGAGGATTCCAAGTGAGTCGTTTGTCCAGGCGGAGTCCTTGATTACGAATTTGTTCAACAGGGTTAAGTGGGGTATTGTTAAAGGATACTGTAGGCCAGGAAATCATAGGTTTACGACGGTGAATAAAGATAATTTGATGTGATTTATTGGAATTTATTTTAATCCTCCAGTTTTGACACCATTCTTCAAGACTTGTGATATGTAATTAAAGAGTCTGGGATGCAATTGATGGGTCGTTATTAACTGATAGAATGCTACGTGTCATCGGCATAGGTGGTGATAAGCAAGGAGTTTCACTTAGAACTGAACTGAACACACCTCCCTGAAGAAAACCTGCAAAGTCTGGTCGAAACGTTAACTTTTATTAAAATAGTTTTGCCACTATTTAGTCTATTTATGGCCGCCACCCCGGACCATCTCCTTCCTTGATTTTAGAATTGTCTAGATATTAATCAGTTGCCTAATGACAAATACGATTTTCTATTGAGCAGTTTATCTTTTTGACCAAATTGAGGGTTAAACTCAAATCTTGTAAGTATAGTGTAGGGGTTCCATGTTATTCCATTGCGAAAGTAAGTTAAGTCATCGGACTGTGTCACAGTATGTAAGCTTCAAAAATATAGTTAATTAATTAAGATATTTTTTAAAAACAATTTTTAGATCTATAATAATTAAGGGATTGCTGTAAAAACAAAGTTAGTCCACCTCGTTTCAGTTTGGAAATAATTGTACGATTCTGAGGCAGAACTTCATCGTCATTATAAGTAAATATATAATATCCTCATTTACCAAAAAAAGTGAAACCTATTATGTATAGCTCAAGAACGTTAAATGAGGTTGATGAAAAAAAAAGTCTAGAAATTAATCCGAAATAAGAATAATAAGAGAAAAAAAATAACAATAGCAATCTGTCTTTGTATTGTTCCTTAAGGATGCGAAACGTGACAATTAACAAATACAAAAGATCTTGAGGAAAAGCTTAAAGTTTTTAAATACAATTTTTTTTTTTAGTATATATTACATAACATAATTTCGAGATGTAACACTATTCTGAATGGTGCGTATCATAATGTGATTCTTATCTTGTGAGAGTGTGATATGCATACTGAGAGTGTGATTGGTAATAATAGTTGATAAAAGTCAAGAGCTCTACCTAATAAGATTTAAGCTACGAATGAAAAATTTTGTTAGCCTCAACCCATTCTAATTCTGGAACTCACGAAAAAAATTAAGGTTGAAGATTTTAATTAGAACTGGCCGGTGATGAAGGGAAAGCTTACAATACAAAAAAGAATAAGGCAGGGTGAAGATTAAGATTTGTGTACAGCCCATCGAAAGACTAAGGAGAGGGAAAAAATGTACCATAGTAGGACTCAGGTTTTTTAAATTCAAATGTATTAAGTGAGATCGCCATAAACTGTTTTTTTTTTTTTTTCACAACACATCTTTAAGATGTAATACAATGGTAAATTCCTGTTACAAGTAACATAGAAATTCAATTTTGTCAAAAAGGATAATTTTAAACGTCAGACGATAAATTATATCAACGATGTCCGAAAATTATCAACCAGAATTGAATTCGCTGATCATCTTTCAATGAAGGAAATAGGCAGGTGCCATTTATAACGGATTGCCGAAATCACCCGAGACAGATGCCGATTCCTTTAAGCCTTCCTGAGATGAAAATAGCTAAGATAATCGGTTACAAGTCGATCCTGAGAGATTTTATCGGTGTCCCAGTCAAGTAGCCATTACTTATCCACAGAGGTATAATCCATCGAGGCAATTACTGGAAGGCCGGGTCACGATTTGGCGCCCAACGTGGTCATCACGCCCGCCCATTACATCTCATTAGTCTCCCTTTCCCTCATATTTCTCTCCTCGCAGCTCTTCTTGTAATAACCATGAAAAAAAAAAATACAGATGGCTGCTAAATCTGGCAATAGAGTAAATTATTTCCTCGTGGGCGTGAATGCCGTGTTAAGGAGCGAAAGTGCGATGCCAGTCTTGCTAACGAGACAGCCGTTTATTAATTTCAATTTCAGAATTACTCACGAGATAAATTGGAACGTGTTTGAAATGATTTTGAGAAGTTGTTTTGAAGGATGTTCTATAACAATGTTTCTTTCTTAACAAACTTCAATCTCGAGCGATTGCCCAATAAAAATTTACTCTCAAGTTTATATATTGCATACTTAAAAAGAACTTTAGGAGTGTTTAAAATATTTTAATCAAGTAAATATTTATGATGAGTAACTCCACTGAAAATTGGGTTGTTATGATATTACGAAGTAGTAATATTTGATTACTGCGTTACACGAATTGTATTTTTATGGAATGAAGACTATTAAAAATAATCATTATAGGGTTCTAACTCTAAATAAGAACAAGCGATAAATATCTATAAGAAAATAGGAAGTAGTTGTGA